GTTGCACAGCTAGAAGAGAAATAAGCTGACTTTTAAGGAAATAATACAAGAAAAAGATTCACATTTTGGGAGTAATTGATGACTACATTTTAGCAACAACAAAAAAGAACTTAACGCCATTAACACAACCGAGATTGAACACGGCCATCTAATATACCAACAGCGCAAAAAAAAACAATAAAAATTATTTTTGTATCACTAGAAGAGAAATAAACCTGCTTTCAAAGAAATGATACAAGAAAAAAATACATTTAGAGAGTAATAGATGCTATCTATTACCAACACAGTTCAATAAATACGGCTATCTGTACTTTCAGCGTGACTTCGCTTCATATGGCACCGTAAACGGTCATATACGGGCGGTAGCGATTGACCTGAGAACAACAAAAAGAAACTTAACATCATTAATCTAACAACAACTATCTATCAGAGTGAACATGTAACGACAAACTGGATTTAGTACCTTGCCGCCACCCTCGGTAATGATGTTTATTTGGTTACCTCGCATCTCCAGAATGTAACTAGTTCACATACAACACAAACTTATATAGGAGAGAGAAACAAAGAGAGAGAGATGAACACAGGAAAGAACAATAGATAGAGGATAAAGAGGAAAGATCAAAGGAAAGTCAGCAGGAGGTGATATTAATATCGGTACAGTTAACACAATCATGATTGAACACAACCATCTCCCGTACTACTATCGTCTGAAAAGCAAAAAAAATTATCAAATTTTATCATTATAAGTATTGAGATGGAACAGGTGAAAGAATTTTGTTTTTCATCGAAAATTTGCATATAATGCAACAGTAATGGAACAAATGTTGAACCCTGGTTCTCCCCAATAGTAAGAGTACTGAGAGAAAATTTTTTAAGCAACAAGTGGAACGATTTCTCTTATTTCGACACATATAACTTTTTTTATAACGCACTCATAAACAAAACGACACAACACAAAAGAAAAGCAGCCTTAAAAAGAGTCCGCACTTTTCATGAGACTCAGAGAAACGGTGCAAAATATCGTTTCGTATAACTCTTCGACAAACATGTTTTGAAACGAATATTTGTTTATCAGTTGATAGGAAATTTTCTCCTCTTTTGAAAAGTGTAACCTTTATGTTCGTCACACATTCGTACATGAAATCAAACTAGAAAAAAAGAGAAACATTCGCAAAACAAATTTACAACTTTTATATGAACTCGTCAAAAATATCTTGTTAGATGACAATCAATGCGATCTTTGTGAACTCGTCAAAAAAAAACTCTTGCCAAACTGTGGTTACTTCAACTTTTATGAGCTCGTTCAAAACATCTTGTAAAACGATAGTCAGTTGTTGTACAACTGTTGTGTACAAAATATTCTTAAATAATTCATATAAAATTTATAAATTTATTGTGTGGGTGTTTCTCTTGTTTCTCATCTCATTTCACTTACTATTATATGACACGTATGAGTCGTAGACTATTCGAAAGAGAAGAATATATCTTATTAATTGACAAAAAAAATTCGTTTCAGAATCTATTTATCAAGGAGATATAATGATCGACATTTTGTATGCTCCTTTTATAGAAAAAGTGCGGATTCTTTCTAAGAGTGCTTCTCTTTTCTGTTGCGTCGTTTCGTTTATGAGTGTATTATAAAAATAAATTATATACGAGTCAAAAGAAGGAAAAATGCTGTATCTTTTAGTAAAAAAAGTTTTCTTTCAGTATCCTTGCTTCGCAGAAAAACAAGATCCGACATTTGTTTTCTTACATATCTTATCCTTTTTATATTTATTTCTTTTTGTTATTATTTTGTAAAAACTTGTAAAAAAGCAAGATTTAAATATGAGATGCAAATGTAAAAACTTTATGTTTTTATTTAACAAAGCTAAAAATTCTTTATCTAAATTTTATCAGCTAAAAACGAATGAGTACACGAAACTTTTTCTAAGTTTAGTTTTCAAGTATTAGTAAATGTTCACCACCAGCTTACCCCTGTGTTCCTGCTTTGGCGGGTGTGGGTGTTGGTGTAGATGTAGGTGCAATTGTTCTGATCATTTTACTCACACCCCACCCATATCCAAACCGACACAATTTATTAAACATATTGTAGAAACTACCCAAAGCCATAATAAACATCATGTTGGTTATGAAAATAAGTAATCTACAGAAGTCAAGTACTTGAACTTATATAAAATTCGTTAATTGATAGTAATACTCCTAGAAAGATATAAAAGAATCAAATAATTAATAAAACCACAGCATTACAAGTTATCGACTCTGCTAATTCTGAACATCGGCATGAGAATTGCACTTACGGCTTTATAGGGTGATTTTATCGAAAATTGGTTTTACAGGCTGAAAAGTGTTTTTCGCTAAATTGTTTTATTAATCTGCTCAGATTGTACAGCATATTGAGTTGTCTATAAAACAGTATCTTTTTCAAATCGAATTTTGAGGGCCATAAAGCCATTTCAATGCATGGAATAGATGCATATACACTCTAAAAAATGCCATGTGTCTTACAAGACGGTATATGAGTCTGGAGTCTAGTTTAGACGCTAACTAGACACAAGACACGACTTATTTTAAGACATTAAGTGAATATATGCAGAAGCGTCTTAATCTTTTTTAGCGAATCACAGACGCACTTAGTTTGTAATCTAACAAAATAATATACACAGGTAGAAAAAATGTGAGTTATTGGATTTTTATCAGTTTCACTTGTAAATAAGATCATTTTTTTCTTTAGAAGTCTTTATATTAAACAATAAAATTTTTCAGTTCCCTCTTTTGATACACAGTTATCGAGCACACTATTGGCTAATTGCTATATCCAACAATAGAATCATTCACTTTATTTTTTCTTCACCATTTTGTTTTTTCAGATGTTTAGTTGTGTTCAGTTGCAATTCTCGTAATACATATTACTCAATCTTAGATAAATTATATATTACTTATAAATGAATGGAAAGTTGAATAATTTTCTCTCGATCCTTTGTTCTCAAACAGATAATTTACATATTTATATCTGCGTGTTGAGTTTTGCTAACTTCTTTTAACATATTATTCTAATTATTTTAGACGTTTGCTTCAAGTGAACATTTTCAACAGTAATTTGGATATTCGTTGTTATTTCTTTATGGTTGTTAAATATTTGACTTCAAAAGAATCAACCAAAACTAAATATTCAAGGTTAGTGCCAGTTTACTTTTTAAATATTTTATTTTTTGAGATAAGTTGAGATAAAGTGATGGGACAAAAAGTGATATATGTTATACAACAGTTAAAGATCTACCATAGGGATGTAAAGGAACATATAATAAACTACTAAGAACAACCAGTTTAAGTGTTTTTTTATAGCACATGTTTTGGAGAAGAAAACAATCAAGCTTGTTAGTTTCTTCTACTTGAAATGCTCTTAGTTGCTGCACATAACCTTGCACTTGAAATAATTTGCAGATAAAGGCACACTTTTTCCCATCGTAAAGGATCCAGCGAACTTTTCCAATCATTGGCATAAGTGGAAAATGCTCTGTAGACACATTCAAAATTGAATTTTTGGAAGAAGTGTGCCCGCCAGTAGTAATTTTCTTTAGTGTACATATAGGTTTAAATGATAAATTAGGTATATTTGATATCACGAAATGCATTTGAGCATCATCAATTGGCTGCTGTTCATCACGTTGACTGTAGGGTACACCAGCCAGGGCGATTTTGGACAGAGATCCATCTTGGCAACGATCATTTACACATAACCATAGTTGATGTCTTCTCACCAGCATCAGTGACGGATGTTTCAAATTTCTCACTTTGTTTCCCTTGAAAAACTGATGCTTTCTTTCAGTTGCCAAACATGATGTATGAGCCAGAGGTCCAAAGTCCTTCATGAAAGCCGGAAAATGAGACATAAAATGAAATTTATATTTCATTTCTCCTGGATATAATTGTCTAAATAGATCATTGTGTTTTTTGATGAAGTGAGCTAATTGTACATGAGTTGTTTCGGAGACAGTAATTGCAAAGCACAATGAAATTATATCCACACAAATTAAAATGGCATCATACTGTAAGAAATCAGAAGAATGAAGCAGTTTTTTGAGGATGAATGGTAAATTAATAAACAGATGGAATGTTTGCATTGATGTTAATGGCATTCCAAGGTTATTCTGGTGCTTCAGTTCTCCAGCTCCCACATCAAGATGTGGCTTTGATTTTAGTTCATTTCCATCATAAGGAAAATTATTGACCTCTGAGCAAAACTGCTCAAGTCTAAAGTAACCGTTGCCGATGCAAAATTGTAGAAAAACGTTCAAGTGACATTGCAGCACGTCCTAAAGTTAATGACAATATTTAAGTTTTGAATCTCTTGATATCGCACTGTTTTCTATGAAAGACGGGAGAATATAAAACCTTTGATTTAAGTATTCAAAATTTTCACAAATTTTGAAAATTGTCTTTTCTTCGCTTTCCTCAACTGTAAGCTAAAATCAAACGTCATTGGCAATCAATTTTTCTCTGAAAATTCATTGTCTTTGAGAAATAGTTCTTTGAAAAGCAATTTTACCTCCAATAAAGTATGCATAATGTCATACGGACATTGGCGAGTAACATCATACAGCCCATCAAATAAACTTCGATTATTGATTCCATATCTTTTAGATAAGCTTTCATACCATCTGTCACAACCTTGACATTGTTCTAGGACGGTGCATCTATTATAGAAATTAGATATAGTTCAATGATGAGAAAATCTTTTGACAGACCGTTCTCTGTATTCAGTTAGAGTAATAGGAGCAAAATCATGAGTAATATCTGCTTCGAGATGATCATTTACAATGTCACATAGGTGGCAAAAATGAGTCGCTGACACAGTTTCTTTAAATCCGTTCAATAACATTTGCGCTGGATAGTCACCGAGAGAGATGAATAAACCACCGTAATATGTGATATCCGCTCCATTAACATTAATTGTTATACCTAAATTAAGATTTAGCAAGAGATCCATTTTTTAATCAGTTAAGTGTCACTTCACCTGTTGTAGCAAGTGTATTCATTCCGGTCAGAAAATCATTAACAGTATGGCATAATGAGTTATATTTGCGTGCCCATTTTGGACATGCTGCTATGAGTCGTTTTGCTGCTTGTTTAGATCTTTTTTCTTTTGAAATATTAAGCAAAGACCAGTAAAAAAAGAAAGTAGAATGAGCACGATGAGATATTGGATTTGTTATTGTTAAATCATCAGAGTTAATCTCAATTTTAAGGTAATCTGATTTTTTAAAATTAGGATGAGTTCGTGCAAAAACACCATCGTTAGTATCTTCAATACGACTAGGATCATAATCAGGTAATATTCGGTGTAGATCAGCTTGGACTTCAGGCAAACATAAATATTGTTTGAGACTACTTAGGAAAGGCACATATGAATATTTCACAGTTTTTATTTCATCATTTTTGGTGATTGTCTGTTAATGAAAATAAAAATAATAATTTTTCTATTTATAGTTTAAGTAGGAACAAAAAAAAACTCAACTGCACCAATTTTATCAGTCTAGCTATGAGATATACCTGATATACTCGACTTATAGGTTCAATGTACTCAAAATATTGTGTTGCCTTTTTTTTCCGCATGTGTTTTGATTTTAATTTTTCGATGCAGCTAGCAAGACCGTTAGGATTCTAGAATTTTAAAATATTTAGTAAATATTTAGTATTATTTTGTTAACATTTCAAACCAAATTTTCCAACGAAACGCTCCGAAAAAGTTCGACAAGACTCCTAGCAACATATTCGATAGCAGCTTCGGACGTGTAAAAAGTAGTTTGAAGAGTTAATAATATATATAATATACGTTTTTCAAATGATTCAAGTTTTTCTTCCTTTAAACTGCCCATGTCATTAGTAAAGTTTGACGTTTCACTTTCAAGAACTTTATCTGCTTCATATATGTTCTCCACCTCATCATTCATTGAATTTATCAAGTCGTTGTTATTGCTTGTATTTTCTTCATTGATTTCCTTATCCTGAATTGGGGTTTCTTTTTCGTTATGAAATCGATACCAACTGAAAACAATTCATTAATAAAACTTGATTGATGGAATCTGAGAAAATACTCACTGATTTTGTAAACTTCTTAATGTGCTAAATGAACCACCACAGGAACAAACTAGTCGAAAACTTTTGCTGTGACTGTGCAGCCTATAATGGTGTTTGATAAATGTTGAAAGTGTGTTGAAGGACACTTGACAAATAGAGCAATACATGATTAATCTAAAATTTTTATCAAAAGCATTTGTTTTATTTTTCAGATGAAAGCCGTATTCGAACATGCAAATCGGAAAACTACTGTATTTGGTGATGATTATGCTACAATAATCGACAAAATTCGTGAATTATTTCCTGAAGAAACTTCTCGTGTTATTGAATTTTATGATCCAGAATTATGTGATTATTTTGATTTTACATCTTTCGAGCAAATTAAAGATCACCCCAATGGTTTAAAGATGCGTTTTGATACATCATTAGTATCAGATTTACTGTCACTTGACACCCATGCACCATCAGTAATTAATGACAATCAAAATTCTCAACGAAATACAAATGCTAAAATAAATAATTGTACTAAACGGTCTAGAAAAAAATCGACTGTTGTAAGTCATGAACCATCATCTATAAATTATATGAACAGTTTATATTTTTCTTCTGTTTGTTTCAGGCAGAACGTATCGAACCACCATCATTACCAGTTTATGGTGATATTATTACTCAAGGTCTACAGTCTCGAGGTAGTTAGAAACTGTTTTATTTTTCTATTGCCTTTTCGTTTAGAATCGTTTCAATCGATACAACAAGAGTTTTTACATAAAACGTCTTCATATTTCCTACAAGAATATCCAAATTGCACTTCGAGAAAAGCTCATCATGCATTTATTATGGCACTAATACAACAATATCCGGCTTTAAATTATTTAGACAAAAATATTGATGGTATTGATGGAAAAGCTCCTTATGTAAGTCTATTTCAAATACTTTGAGAATTTAAAGTGAAACGTCAACAAAACGACTTTATTTTACTGATAGCATACAATATCTCGTCTTCTTTCTCGAAAGAAAAGAAATATGAGATATTCAAAAAATCATCCAGCACCAAAACGAGCACGACAAAACACAAGTAGTTCCACGTTCAATGATAAAGTCATCGAAAATGTAATTATCGAAGAAAATCCAACTGTTGCAATTGAAAAAAATATTGTATTTGAATCTAATCAAAATGGTGAGCATTTTCTCAAATGCATTGAATATGTTAATATGATTTATCTTTTATGTTTAGTTTTGGTCAATGGATGTTCGACAGAAGAATCGTTGAATGAATCGAACATTAGTCAAACAATAGGTTCACCATCTGTTCAATTAGGTAAGAGCTTTAGATAAAAATATTTATCATGTTATATCCCTGACTTCATGTATTCTCATTTAGAAAAATCAGTCACAACACCATCATCACCAAATACATGTATTACGTCACGCATAGTAACAAAAACTAACAGACAAGCCACCGTGGTTTCAGTAACTTCATCACGTACATCAAATTCACCAAATCAATCATCTTCTACAACTTCATCGATCATCAATGTACCATCTGTTTCAAGTAAACCGGTTATCATCAAACCTGCAACTATTACAAATACACCAGCTAATTTTATATATCATAATGGTCGTTTACAAGTAAATTCATGTATGTGCCGAAATTATAAGAAAAATACAGATATTGTACTTCACAAAAAAACTGGATATGAATCAATTATTAGAACAAAAAAGAAATTAGTTTTATTTTTATTTTTCAACCAATGGATACAGTATAGTCTGCACGAATTGTACCACTAAACAATGGTCGTCATTTTAGATAAAGAACACCTTTGTTTGTCGATCCATTCTTTGTACTTATGTGATTCATCATCCTTACTTGAAATGATAATAGAAAAGTTACCAATTTCTCCTAGAACGTTGAGAGCTGGTGATATAAATGAATGAAAAACTCCTCTGAGTTTGTATGTACACTAAAATAGAATGATAAAATGATTCTGTCAAAGTTTATTAGAGGTCAGACAGAACTATCAAGAATTATTAGTACACAAATGATCATAAAAGTGAATGTTATCCACAGCTGCAGTAGAAATCGAAGAGATTTTATACAGACTACTGATCCAATTTAGCAAAAATCAGATTATTTTTTATTTGTCTTATTACCGTTTGTTACTCATTTGTATCACTTAGTGATTAGGGACTGAAATAGGTTGTTTTAGTTGTCAATTGATGCTAAACTTTTGCTTAAGTTTAATATCATAAATAGTAATTCTATATTCCTACAAATATCTAAATTTCATTTCCCATTTATCATTCAATTTTAGTTCCAATACAATCTGTCGTTTCTGTCCATAAAGCTATTGCACCACGAAAATGCGAAAAGAAAAAAAGTATGCTTTATTTCTTCAGACTTTGTAATAATATTCTCTTTAAAAGAAAAAGAAAATGATACAGGTCCTCCAGTAACTATAGCTGAAGAACCAACTAATGTTTTAAAAGGTAAGTCGAATTATTTATTTTACACACTGATCCTTGTTTCTTTTGTAGAGTCTAATGTCAATAATATCGTTTCATCATCAACTACAAATAAAGATGACCACAGATGGTTCCTAAAATTATCAAATTCAGAAATAAGTTCATATAATAAAGATGTTGCTCGTCTTCGTACCATTGTCAAACTAAAGAATAAAGCAGCAAAAAATATCTCCAGTGTTGAAATTCATGTACTCATACGTAATACACATTTTATTCGACGTCAAAAGTTATTAGAAAAAGAAAAAGATGATTTTCAAGTAAAGGTTTTTGATTTTCAAGAAATCTTCCATGAAGATGCGGTGAGTATTTTTTTTATTGTAATTTAAATGCTTTTTGTTAATTGTAGTTAATCTTTTTCAAAATATTTTATTTCTTGCCTGGTTACTGCATATATTTATTCTTAAGATTTGTTTTTTTTTCTATAGCTTGTATATGAATATATGTTATTGAAAAATCGAACATTAACATTTGAAGAATTACAAGCTGAAGTTCGTATCACACTTGATAATTATATCGAAAAATATGCTTTACAAAAACATGAAAAAGTAAGACTTTATAAAAACTGATCTTGATGTTTCTTTTCTTTTTGTAGATGAGTGAAATTGACTTCGTAATAATGAGTTCATTATGTAAAGATGCTGGTGAAGAAAATCTAATTTTCAAAGTAAAAGACTTTGTTCTGAGAATTTACATGTTCAATGTTCTAATTTGTTTAGAATGTTTTATGTAATCCAGATCAAATTATTGGAATTCTTATAACTTCGTCATCAACAAATGAGTTCGAAAAAGCATTTATGTTTATCCGGAACTTACCTTTCAAAATCTATTTATCAATTGATGGTGGTGGTTTACAGAGCGTTCTTGCAATTTTAATAACAGTGTACATTAACTTAAATGCTCAACCTGATCATGCAGTGTTACGAATGTTACTTGAATCATGTAATAAAAAAAAGTAAAAGTAGGACAATTTTAGATTTTTTTTCTTTACTTTTTGCTTATCTTTTGTAAGAATTGATGAAATATGTTTTTTTTATTCATATTGTACTTGTACTTATATTTTACATTACTACTTGTTTAAGTAATGCATATATGAAATATGAAACATTTATTTTATATTATAAACAAACATGTACTTCGAAATGTATTTTTTTCTAGATCATAATCATATCATCGATATTTGGAACGTATTGCAACTGATTCTTTTTTCTTCAAGGCAACTTATGAAATTATTAGATCAATGAACAAATTCACTTGAACGAATAGTTTTTCAAACAAAAATTTTGCAGAAAAAAAAATGATTAATACTTTAATAGTTACGTCCTGTTTTTTAGATATTCTAGTCTATCTGAGACCTATAACTTGAAGATATAGATGAATAAAAAGTTAAAAAGAACTTTCCGCTGAACGAATTATCAAAAAAAAAAGAAAATTTTTATATTTCAATAAGATGTATTTTTAAGTGTAAATTAGTCTCTTAAAGATCATGATAATAATCTGAAATTATAAATCTTACGATCATAAAATTTTTTAAGAGATTAAATTACATTTAAACATACACCTTACCGACATATAAAATTTTTTTTGATAATTTGTTCAGCGGAAAGTTCTTTTTAACTTTTTATTCATCTATATCTGCAACTTATAGATCTTAGATGAGTCGAAACGTCTAAGAAAGACAGCAGTAAGACACTTTCTCTATTGGTGGAAAGCATCCAATCAGTAGCAAGTAAGACGCACCAGTGTCTAAAATCGGTCATCCGTTGACACTTGAAGCGTCTAAATGAAAGATATTTTAGCCAATCAAATTTAAATCGAAGTGTCTTGTATTGTCACTTGAAATGTCTTAACTAGACATATTATAAGTCTTGATTTTTTAGAGTGTATACATTACCATGTAAATGCATAAATAGTACATAATTTTATGGAAAACTCACCTTTACCAGTAAATCTTCTCTTGGTAATATAATTGAACAATATATATAAACTTTTAGTAAAAAATATAGCTGAGTTTGAGATCGGTGAGACTCGTGCACAAGGATGTAGTAAAAGTTATCTGTAGTAGCTGATGTTACCATTTACTATAGCTGATCTTTCATTACAAGTGTTTAGTGGTACGCGCTGAATTGAAATGGCTTTATAGCCTTTACAATTCGATTTGAAAACAAAATTGTTTTATAGACAACTCCGTCTGCTGTACAATCTGAGCAAACGAAAAAAGAATATGGCGAAAAACACTTTTCAGCCTGTAAAACCAGTTTTCGATAAAATAACCCTATTAAGGCGTAAGTGCAATTCTCATGCCGATATTCAGAATTAGCATAGTCGATAACTTGTAATGCCGTGGCTTTTATTAAACAAGCGATAGGATAGTTAACAATGTTCTCTCCGAACTTTCGTGTTTTCATGTAAAAAGAACGGCTAAAGATCAGACTACAATCGATTATTTTTGGATTACAAATAGATTAAAATGGCACTATTTTAATCTGATTTTTCACCTTTAAAAAAAGATTTTATTTTATTTTCAGCTCTTTTAATCGATTAAAGTCGGCTTTTTAACAATCAGTCGTAATTGATTTAATGCTAATAATCGATAAAAATTAAATTAAAATAATGCCATCTTAATTGATTTGCGAACTGGGTCTAGTGACCAGTTCATTTCAAATGGACCTGTTGTGTCGATAATAGGGATGTAGCAAATCTCTTCCGTACTTGCTCCAGTTGTCAAAAAGAATTGGTTCCCAGTTTCAGTTCTTTGAAAAAGAACTAGTCATCAGCTCAGGTTCTTTTAAAAACAACTCAATAGCTGATACCAGTTCAGTTTTTTTTAATCGAGAACTTTCACAGGTCCGACCTCCATATATACGTACTTATCGACAAATTTTAAGAAACTGGTCTTTTCGATAAGCTTAAGTTTATAATGTTTGAAGACCGTGAAATGTTCATAAGATTTAGTAATACTTGCAGATGTTTTGGGAGAGTTTTCACGCAATACTTTTCGATTAAAAGATGTATAATACAGTGAAAAACATTCAACTAGTAGTTCGAATTGTGACCGTCCTCATCAAATGATTTTATTGCAGGGTGTTATTATTAATTTACATATTGCATCAAGATCTGTTGAACAACAATCATTCAAAAATCTTATCAATATCAATCGTGATTTAGTCGACGAAAAATTCATTTTTTTAACCTTTTATGTTCTTTTTTTGCCATGTTACAACATTAATCTATTTAATAATAAAGTACAAAATACTACTTTATCTAAGCAACTACATATATTTTTTTTAAATAGGAGTTTAAACTCAATTCGTACAAGAACGAATGTAAGTCCTATGGCTTCGTTTACCATAAAAAACGGCTTGATTATCAATTTTACCATGTTTCTACTCTACGGAAATTTAACACTTTACGCTGAAGTGAGTATTTATTTATTATAACAATTAGCTAACCCTATTTTATCTAGTCTCGAAATTCTTTATTAAAATTAACCAAGAAGATACGTTTTGAAGTTGATAAACATATTGTACCGATATTGATGGCACGCTCCGATGATTTCCCTTCCTCCTCTCTCTCTCTCTCTCTCTCTCTCTCATTCTCTCTCGTATATATACGCATGGTATATGTGAGGTAGATACACTCCGAATATATGAAGTAGCAAATAAACATCATTGCCGAGAGTGGCGGCAAGCTACTCATCGAGTTTGTCGTTACATGTCAACCCTGACAAAAGGGCGACGAAAGAACACATTTCATCGTTACATATATCAATCAAGTTGGTCAAGAATTTAGGTAAAAAAGAAAATAAATTCTTTTCATAAAAAAGAATCTGTTTTTCATTTTAGCTTTGGAAATTTGCGTGCATTAAGAAGAGAACTTAAAAGCAAAATACCACATATTAAGACGTTTATTGATAAAAATTTAGTTACTTCAAATTATGATTCACAAGTTATTTGGATCGATCAAAAAAACATATTCCTGTTCCTGAATATGAAAAAACTCCTTTGCATAATCAAGAGGATAATATCTCAAAGACACCAATTTTTGTTCATGATGAATGAACAAAAAATTTCATATTTCTTCTTTTCTTTGCACTCATCATTTAAAAAATAAACCTACTTGATACTATTGGCTAGATCAACGATTCAACAATATTCGTTTTCTTGTATGCTATCAAAATGGCCACGTGTTAGAGAAAATACATGATTGAATTGGATATATTTATTGTTCAGAATAATATTAATATATAGATGTATACAAAGTGAAAGACATTGTGTTTTCTTATTAAAAAAAAAAAACAGGCAGTTTTTCTATTTTGAATTTCGAGAGTATCCATTCCTTGAAACAAATCAAAACTAAAATCAAAGATTTATTAAGTATTATATGACGAACCTTTTCAAAAATAAAGTGTATTTTCTTAAATAATTTCTTAACTATTTCAATACAATTTTCCATTCTATTTATTAAAATATAGTGAACAAAATTCTGAATAACACTTCATTTTCTCAATCGCTAAACTAAATTTCACATTTCAAGAATTCAGATTGAGAAAAAAGATTATTAATAAGAGTATAGCAGTTGAACAGTCAATCGTATTTTCAGTAACAAATTCACCATTACAAGAAAACGATTTACTAAAAAAATACTATGAATAAATTTGAATCTCTTCATCTCTTGCTGTTCTTTCATTGTCTAGTACTTCTCCAAAACAACGATACAATTGGTCACATATTTTTTAACATTCTCTTGTTGACTATTTGATTTTCATTGTCAATCATAAGTGTTAATATGTAAAATATATTCGATCTATCGAAATCATCCTTGAATAAGAGTCATTATTTAGAAATACATGAAAATTACCGAATGAATTTAAATCTAGTACTAAATTATATAGACAATATACTGCTGTTTGACAAAATACTTTCGTTGAAATATCAGTTTGACGGAATTCAGATTAGAATATTAGAAAAAAATTGAGAAACAATAAAGAAAATAATATTGTAAACGAATTTTTATTGTGAAATCAGGATACTCTATCCCATTAAAACCGCTCAATTTTAATATTTAAACATAGTGATTCATCGGCAAGAATTGTGTATGGTCGGTGGAATAACAATCATTTTGAAACCGGTTACAATAGTAAGAAGATTGTCAAGAAATCAATCGAAATTGAGAAAAAGTGAATGTTGATTCGGCACGAGCAATCCTCCAACTATATCAGTATGTGAATTGATAGCGTAAGCATAAGCATAATCTCATAGTGCACGATCTAGTGAAATTAAGTAATGCAAGAAATGCCAATCTATGTTGAATCTGATATCCAATAACGCACTTGGAATGAAGCTTATTTTCATAAAATCATATTTGTAACATATGAAATATATCAATGCTACAGATAATTTTTCGTGCTAAATTATTCTGACGAACTAAAATCAGATAGATACACTAAAGTAAAAGAATATTTAAGATTACCATTCGTTTTCAAGCAAAATTCGTTAAAATATCGTCACACTCTGCTCGCAGTATAGCAAGATGATCTACAGTATATTTGGAACTGGTCGGAATTTTTTTGATCGGATCTGACCGGCCGGCTAAAATTCTTGATTCAATCAGCAAAAAAAACCAACGCACTTTATACATCAACTAACCGATCCATTTTTTCGAGAAACTGTCCATTACTTCCGTTGTACGAAGACACGTAGTATTAAATTGATACAACTCTTAGAGTTTCTACAAGTAACAACTCATGCTAGTCTAGCACGTTTCATGTACTTATGTTAAAAGTGAGCGAATATTTCTTTCAAAAAATTTCGACTATGAGTTTACACCAACTAACACATAGAATAATATCTATTTAGTTACGCTTCAATTAGTTTTTTGCAATAATGATACGATGTCTTTACAATTGAAAAGTTTTGAACCACTCTTATTTGCAATAGTTTAATCAGTGAACACAGCT